TTAATTAAAAACATCTTTTTAAAAAAAGTAGTAAGAGCTTGAAATTTTGTGGTTGATTTTAGCTTGTATGCACTGTATGTTCCTTGTGATAAATCAGCTTCTTCGATAGGCTGCGATGATCCAAAATCAGTTATATAACTTTCGAGGACTAATCTCCTTTAAGCACATTTCTACTATGAAGGTCACGATGAATATATTTTTTAGAGTGTATAAGCTGTAGATTTTCAAGTACGCCTTCTAATAGTTCCACTCGTCGATACCAATTTAATTTTTGTGTTCATTTTGTAAATATTTCGAATGTTGCCTTTTTCTGCATACTTTAATACTAAAACCAATTGATTTTTCTCTGGATAAAATGAAATACCGTAGCATGTTATTCCCTTTTCGCTTTTTCCGATGCATCGATAGTAAGTATAAACCTATAATCATTAGATCATTAGATTATTATGTTATTATTAGATTAGAGTTAGAGTTAAACTATAATGATTTTCTTACTTAATTTATCTACCTCGTAATTTCCGGTTCTTTTTTTCACGTTGTCATTAATTCATTAGAAAGCATATGCATACACCGATACTGCTCTTTAAAGCACACCTCATCATTGCATTCAATGCAAAGGCCAGTGCCAGTTCGATTGCAAGTTTTACACCAAACGATTTACAAATGAATATTTGCTGAAATGCATTTAGAGCATAAAAAATCGCTATTCTGTTTTAGATTAAGACATCCTTTTACTTCACATTTAAATTGATAGTTGCCTTTTTCGTTGCAATTTGATAGTTGCCTTTTTCGTTGCAATTTGAACAAAATTACTGAAGCGGCATTGAGGTTACGTATTGTATTCTTGACAAAAATGGGATACATATTTATTTCCTTTGCATGAACAATTTAATAAATTAGTCATTTTCATCAAATTCAAAATGAATTTTGCAAGCTAAAAGCACCATCAATTTATAGTTTTTGAAAATACTGTATACGCATTCTACGTTTTGCAAACATGCTTTGTTGATCCAAATACATGTACATGTAAAAGTACATGTACCAGGTACATAATCTCCGTTTTTCTAACAGAAATTCTACTTTAACCTTTTTTTGCAATAGTACAATACAAATTATCAAAATTTCAGAGATTTGTTCTGCCTATAGCGATAGTGCGTAATTAAATAACGATACTTCAAATCACAATTGATAATATGTAGTTTAATTCAGCATGGATACATAAAATTTAAAATTATAAAAAACTACATCTTTCTTTTTTTTAACACATTAAATATAGCTAAACCTTCCTCATATTACAATCACATTGTACTTTTAGAACATTAAAATTCTTTTTAATACATGTATAAAATGAATTAAATTAGTACAAGTATCAACATCAACTTTACTCTTATCTGAAATTGACACACCATTTTATGATCAACGAATTGTTTCATCTAATTGGTTATATATTTTAAAATCATTGTTCTATTGGAAAATGATTTTCTATTAAACTTTGTCTACATAATACATTATTCACCATCTCATTGATTCTGTAAAAGTTGTCAACATCACAAAAGATGAAGCAACTCTATGTTATTATTTTTTCAATCCAAATTTTACTTTAGATTTTATAAATGTAAATATAATCAAAATTATGTTGACTTTGACTCAATTAATTGTATTAATACTTTTGATAAGATTTAATATGCAAATCTCTTTAATGATTTATTGAACTTTTTCAGTAATACTGACTCAAAACTTTAAATTTTTGTAAACTAAAATATATAGTATTAGTAATTTTTTAAACAAGAATTTTTTAAGAATTAATATGAAATTATTACTTCTGAATATATAATAAATGCCAAGTACTAAATATTAATATTTTTAATTTTTGCAAATAATTTCAAATACTTGTATAAAATAATTTCCCAGCTGGTCATTTAAAATAGATAAACTATTAAATCTTTCTTTTATTTTTTGCTATTTGTTTATAATATGTTTTTATTGCTATTTATTTATTAAAAAGTTAAAATATAATTCAATCAAAAAATTTTATTTAGTATATAGTATCTATATAACTAATAATTATTATTTATTACTTAAACTAATAGGAGCTATCAATAAAAATCAAGCAAATTTTTCTAATAAATTTGCTTGGTTTTTACTGCTAATCACTCTCCAAATGATTAAAACAAATATAATATGCAATTTGTACAAGTCATGTATTCTGAATTGGAATTAAATAACATAATATTTAATATATAGATAATTTTAAAAAATTCAAATTATTTATTATATTAAAAACTATTTCCAAGATTTTTTCTGATAATATATTAAAATTTATTGAAAAATCTTGAAAATAATTTTTGTGAAAAAAATTTTGATTGATATTTTATTATTACTTGCAAATAAATTACATAACTCTTTGAATATATCAAAAATTTAACGTGGAGAAATCTTATGCATTGACTGAAGAAATAATAATTGGTTTTTTATTATACTAGTTTTCATAAATCTTAATAAATAAATACTTAAATGAAAAAATTGTTATCAAACAAGTGTAACTTTATTAAAAAAATCCGCAAAAATTATGCGGATCCGCGAACAATTCAAAAATTACAATGATGTGGCTACACAAAAGTAGAATGATCCGATCTCATACACAGATAAGATAAATATTAGTGTTAGAATATTAAATTACAATTTTTTAATATTCTGTTCAAGTTTTGATTAATTTATTCCAAGATGAACGGTGAAGCTGGCAACAACTCAAAAGATCCAGTCATTTCTGTTTCCGAAGAAGATAAAAAGAAAGCGGAAGAAACGAAAGAAGCGGCAAATAAACTTTTTAAAGGTTGCAACAAGTTTGTTCATTAGGTAAAGAGAAAAAGACGCGAATTTTAATTGAGAAAGAAAAAAATTTTCAGAAAACAAGTTTGATGACGCCATCGAGAAATACATCGAGGCGATAAAACTTAATCCATACGTCGCTGCATATTACGCTAACCGTTCTATCGCATACATTAAAACGGAGGCTTATGGATATGCTGCTATGGATGCGGATAAAGCTTTGGAAATAGACCCTTCTTATATTAAGGTATGTTTGTGTATGCTTGAACAAGGAGAATCTATTGTGGTTACTACGGAGATGCCATGCTCGATTTTGCTTTAGTGTCTAATTGATTGATCTTGATAATCTCTTTCAAACCTTTACCTCTATAGGGATACTATCGACGAGCTGCTGCCAATATGGCATTATGCAAGTTTCAAGATGCGCTTCGTGATTTTCGGACGGTAATACGCATAGATTGCTTTTTCTAGCAGCATTTATCTTCATTTATTTTCTTTTTTGTTGATAGGTGGTAAAGAAAGCACCCGGAGATAAGGATGCAAAAGCAAAAATGGTGAAATGCGAACGAATTGTAAAAAAGATGGAGTTCGAGAAAGCAATAGAGGTATTATGTTTTGTGTGTGGAGTATTTTTCCTGTTCATCAAAAATACTAATAAAGGAAAAATTATTCATCGTTATCAGGTAGACTCTTCAAAAAAAAATGTGGCTGATACTATAGATATAAGTTCTATGAGTAAGCATATCCAAATTTGAACTCGTTTTCGCGTTCTTTTTCTTATTTGATTTTTTATGTTTTCCTTGATTAGCCGTCGAATCACCATATGAGGGACCTAGAATGGCAAGTGATGGGATAACAGAAGGTTTTATCAACGAGATGATGGAGTACTTTAAAGATCAGAAATTGATTCATAAGATATTTGCATATAAGGTAAAATGTAGAAAATAAAGGCTACGTATGTGTTTATTTACTTTTTGAATAGACGAATAATATTTGAATTCTTTTTTGAAGATTATTTTGGCCGTACGAGAACATATGTTGAAGTTACCTTCATTAGTAGATATAACAATACCTGAAGACTCAACATTGACAGTATGTGGAGACGTTCATGGTAATACTTGCATCCTCCTGGTTTGGGATGCAATTTTTTCTGAAAATTGATTCTATTTTTTTTTAATCGTTCAGGTCAATACTACGATTTATTAAACATCTTTAAAATCAATGGCCTACCATCTGAAAAAAACATTTACCTGTTCAATGGAGATTTCGTGGATCGTGGATCGTTCAGCGTCGAAATAATACTGACATTATTTGCATATCAATGGTTATACCCAAACTCACTTTACTTGACACGCGGAAATCACGAGACAGATGACATGAACAAAGTGTACGGATTCGAAGGGGAAGCCAAGTCCAAATATTCGGATGTTATGTTCAATCTATTCGCCGAGACTTTTGCGACATTGCCGCTTGCTCACTTGATTAATAGAAAGATTCTTGTCACTCATGGTGGGCTGTTCAGTCGAGATAATGTGACACTTGATGAAATACGACAGATAAATCGATTCAAGAGAAAACCAGAGTCCACAGGACTGATGTGTGAATTACTCTGGTCTGGTATGTGAGGTTTTTTCTTTCGTTATTCATATTCTCGATTCTTTATTCTTTACTATACCTTGCTCGCTTTAGATCCACAAAAGAGTCCTGGTCGTAGTGTAAGTAAACGTGGAGTAGGGATACAATTTGGTCCTGATGTCACGGAAAAGTTTTTGAAACTCAATAATCTAGGTATAGATAGATAGATATATATATATATATATGATGAATATCATCCAACATTATTTATTGATCTCTATTTATTAAGATTTACTGATACGGAGTCACGAGGTGAAAGAAAACGGATACGTAATAGAACATGATGGGAAATGTATCACGGTGTTTTCTGCGCCGAATTATTGGTATGTAACACCAACTCCCTTATTATTATTATTATTATTTATATGACTAATGCTACTATTATCGTTATGCAATTAGCGATACAATTGGAAATAAAGGAGCTCTAATAAGAATTAGCCCGGATCTCCAATTGACCTACACAACTTTTGAAGCTGTGGTATGCATTTTTCTTTTTCTTTTCTTTTCTTTATGTAACGTGACGCAAGATTTACGTGCCTCTATTTTCTCTTATAGCCACATCCTAATGTACGACCAATGGCGTATGCTTCTCAATTTGGAGGTCTGATGTGATAACGATAGCATAAAAATCTGTACATAAAATATTATCGTTATGCATCTTTTGCAAATACGTAATTATAGTTATTACACATGATCATCATTCATTCTAAACATCATCACAAGTAATTTTATAATTTTTAGAATGACGAAAAAGAAGTGTAGGTCGTATATACAAAACTCAAGTGAATGAATCTTCTGAAATCGGAAGTGTAAGAATTGCTTGAGAATTAATTGTTCCGTGAACAACATTGTTTATGAAATTAAATTGTACGTTATTCTTCCTAATTCATCGATGATGAGTCGGTGTATAGTGTAGCGGTAGTATTTGGTGTCTGAGGATTATTGACCCATTTCAGTTGAAGGAAATGAAATACAGGTCAATACTTTAGTAAAAACTCTTGATTGATAAGGAGAGGTGACACTACTAGATCTCTTGTCGTGGATTTAAGAGTAAAGCTTTAGTCCGATTAAACACTTATGTAGATAATATAACCAGAACGGCACCTGGATATTTTGATATTCTGCCACGATGTTTTCCGTCGTTTCTCGTATATTTTTGTTATTGATGAACTTTCTTTATGTTAGAAGTAATTTTAAATTTTCATCTCGAGATGATGTTAAACAGTTCCAATTTGATCCCAAGAAAATTGCTAGCTTTGGAATAATTTTCCTTTCCAAGTTGAGGTCACTTATTTATAGTAATAATCCAATAATGAGGATAAAACTTTTCAAAAATTCAGAATCTTTAAAATTTTAGGATAAATTAAGTGATTTAACATCACTAACGCGCGCTGGTAAGTGAAGAATTTTGTATTTATTATCGTTATCAAATAAAGTCATTTTTGCTTCGTTTTGAAAATTTGGCATTTAACATCAAGAGAACTGTGAAATGATACATGATTATTTTTACCTTGTCGATACTCGGATATTTGCGGGATTAACTGTAGAAGTTTAAAAGTTTGATTTCTTGGACTAAATTAAGGTTTAATTTCTTACAGAGACGGGTACTTAGTCCGCAAACTACGGTATCAAGGATTAATTGCCTTATGTTTACTACAAAAGATTCTTGAAAACAATATCTTCCTGTAATACTGATACAAATCAATAACGATAGTGAGACATTTAATTTTCCTATATTTGCTAAAAACCTGTTGCCATTATAAAAATAATAACGATGGATTGTAAAACATTAACGTTAAATTTATGAGAATGGAATGGCTGGAAGTAAAATACAATTACATGTGTTTAGATAACGTTATCGTTATCAGTTGCCGATTCTCGTTATACATGTACACATGTACGTACAGTATAATTTTAACAGATCCGCTTTATCGTTAATGGAGATTTGGTTAGTCGAATATTTTTTTAGTGTCGGAATCTCCGTGTATCGGATAAGCAAATTCAGCGAGATTTTATTGTCTCATAAGGCTAGGCTAAAGAAATTTGCAAAATGCTTTATTTCTCAACATATTGTTTGTGTAATCGTAATTAGATACGTATTTACGAATAAACCCCGGTAGATTTTAATTTACTGATTTTCTGGTTGTTTCGCTATTCGCTCGAATAATGTGGATTATATATTATCGAAAAACAGCATTAAATCATTTTTTTCTTTTCACATACCAGAAAAATATACATGTATTAGATATTGCAAGACTTAGCGTTAGACTTCAAAATAAATTTCACAAATCTCGTGCTAGCTTACAGGTATTCACTAAGCAATGAATCTAGTCAATTAAACTATTTCTCCAATATTAACTTTAACCCTAACTCTATTTTGATTTAGACTGAGTGAAACTGATAGCAAATCCATCTAGAAAAAGATGAAAAGAGGCTCGCAAAGTTTTTTTTTAAAAAAAAACATTAATTCCTCTGAATCAGCAGTGTGTGGTTATTTACGAGCAGAATGATGAAATATACGAATTCTGCTTGCAGTATACGTATAAACAACCTGCGACATTGCACTTTTTTTATCACATATATTTTATTACATTAAGTATCACATATTTATATGCAATCACTTATCATCACAAATTGCTTACACTTATCTGAAATATAGATAATACAGCCTCTTGCTCTACCAGGCATAAAATGTATCAATAACACAACAGTCATAGAAGTCTTTTTTTACTCACAATGGAGATCTCGAACACTGTATATTTGCGCGAATATATAATAATGCATTCTGTAAACTGAGTTTTATCTACTTTCACAAGCTTCATTTGTACGTTTAATATGATCAGTTTGTTTTTGCTGTATATCGACACTATCATCTTCACACCATTATCACGTCATCAACGCGTAATTTAATATATTCATTCCTTACTATTATCGCTCTTGTATTTTTTTGATGCCATTGTCGTTGTCATTATTATTCGACGGTTGCAAAAATAATTCTCTCATTTCGTTAAAAAAGTTTATTGGTCGAGAGTTTTCATTGCCAGTATAGTCGTTGAATGAGCGTTTATTGCGTATCTTTTTGATAGGAATTGATACCGTTTTTGTGGTCAATAAAGACTTGCAATATGCTGTTGTGGCAGTTTTTAGATTTATATATTTTAATTGCTGTACTTCGGCTTCTTTAGAAGTCTCAGTTGTGGATATTAAAACCTCGGTTTCATTTTTTGGGCGAAATTCATCAGAATTCTTATTAGCAAAGACAACCATTGGCACGGTTAAACTGTCTTGTAAATGTTTCCTCATTCTAATCAAATTAACTGAGACGCCTTGCAATTCTTTGGCAGACAATATTCGTCGAAATTCATGGTTTGAAAATTGATGACTTTTTTTGCATTTGTGAATGTAAGCAATCGGTGTGATGATGTTGCACGTCTTACATTTATACAGCGTATAAATTCGGAGAAAAGAGTCAAAGAGACTTATAAAGCTTGTATAGTGCGAATTTTTGCTATTTATTTGGTTCAAGGTCTGTCAATAAGACTTATTCTATATTATTAAACTAGACTTATTATAAATAAGATACTAACTGATCAAAAGCTTTTTCCAATGTGTCCAATTCAAGCATGAGATTGTTCAAGTTCTCCAGACGAATAAACTCATGCTGTCGATCAATACTTACTCCACTCCAAATATCCGTATTTACAGAGCTATTACTATTATAATGCCCACCAGTATCTTTACCGGTAGCGGTACTCCCACAAAAAATATCAGTTTCAGTTGTGTTCGAATATTTGCCGCAAAGACGACAAAGATACATTTGATTAGAACGGAGCCATTCCGGAAGAGATTCTAGGAATCGATTGTACTCGAGTACACAATCTTTTGGATTCATTTGTTGATGAGAATTGGAAATAGTATTACTAGTGGTGTGCTGTTATTTGAATTGCACAGCTCGAAATATTCGGTGAGGTATTATTTGAAGACGTTTTTCTTTTAGTTTATCATATGTAAAAAGAATGATTGTATTTTTATTGTGGGTAAAATTATTTTTAATATTTAGATCAATCAATCACTTTGCTTTTATATCATTAGATTGTATCATCATCAACCAAAATCATCACGTTTAGTCAGTACGTATAACGAATAAATCATCAAGTTTCAAAAACAATGTAAAAACTTTTTCTCACCTACATACATACCACATGATGCATACGTCAGCTACAAATTGATTTTCGAATTATTTTTTTTAGCTCTGTCGAATTTTCTTTCAGCAATACTTAATTATGAGACAATAATGTATGTTCTAATTTAAATGAGATATTTGCGGTAAGGTGTTGGATTTTCCATATTTAACGATAAATCATTCTCAAAATATACAGTTAAATGTCGCATATTAACTGCAAAAGGAACTCGGTGAATATATTAATATTTTAGAACCATAGAATTTAAGTATATTCGCTGAGAAATCGTTTACAGAAAAAATATAATTATATAAATACTCTATTCTTTTTCGTTAACTTTGTTCCCTTCCTGGCATATTCTATCATTTGTATCGAATTTTTTGTCCAAACCTTTCGATTGTATAAAATTCTCACTAACATTTTGAGCAAAATTCATTGAACTTCGAGCAAAATCTATTATAATTCTCAACAAAATTTATAGATGCTTCCTATTTTTTTTTTGCGAATGTTTATTGCTTAAAATTGTGATAGAATTCATAAAATTCTATGGAACAAGCTGCTTAAAGTAGGATAAATTTATGAATCTTTTGGTTCGTAGTGTTATTTATATTTCATGACAAAGAAAACTTGCACGCGAAAAAATAATCAAAATACATTTCAGATACATGTATCAGTATTATGAATGGGAAAAATTCACGTGCTAATTCAAAAAAAGTGTGCATTTTTCTCTCATTACACACCAAACACGTTTCTTGACTAAAAAGTACGTAAACAAATATTTCCTCAACACATAAAATACTGTGTCACGTAGAAAGTCAATTATCTGACATGATATTAAAGAAATAGAATAATAGAGTCACATTCTTTTAAAATTTTGCTGATGCATGTTCTATTACACGAAAATTCATATTTTTTAATAATAATACTACGTAGACTTTCACTAAAAACCAATAATGATTCTATTTACAGTATATAATGGCTAGTAAGAAATCGAAATAAAATTTACGCATACTTATTATTTAACATCACTCGGCCAATTCAACACAAAAAAATCTTATTTGCTACAGGAAAGTTCTTTTGATTTTATTTCCAAACCTTGATTGGTTGTACAAGTTATTATTAAAGTTAGTAATATTATCCCTTAGACCGTTTTAAATTCAGGGCAGATTTGTAGATAAATAGTTTGAAGAATAAAAGCTCGATTTTTTACTAATAAAAACATTTTTGGTGTAATAAGTAAACTTTTTTATTTATTAAGTTCTATAATATAATAAACGTTATTTAATTTAAATAATATATATTTTATTTACTAACTTTTATCTATTTGAAATACAGGGCAAATTCTTAGGAGAAACAGTTTAAGGGATATTTTGTATTGTGAAAATTCAAATTATTTTAATTTTTATAATCTAATTAATTATATAAACATGTATATTTTAAATACTATCTGCAGCAGATTCAATAAACACACGTTATATCTATTATACTTAGGACTCAAAGAACTGCAAATGCACCTCATCAAATATTCATTGTTTAAACAACTTCTATAGATCTTTCCCAGAAATAATTCATGTTTAAATGTGTTGATCAACCAATCAAAAAAATTAATACCGATATACGTAAACGTTTTCGCGTTGCACGTTGATCTTGCGATTTGATTGGTTGATCATCACGTGAGCATGAAATTTTGTTCTATCATTACATGAAATATCGAGAACTCGTACATAAAGCTCCAGTTCTTAAAGACGAACACATATATTAATATATTTGAGATAAGATGATTCGTATTACTGGACATGGGGTCGCTGGTGGTATGAATACAGTCAAACCCCTCTATAGTCACCACCCTTGGGAAAGCAAAATTTGGTGACTATAGAGGGGTTTTTTTACTATATTTATATGTAAATGGGAAAGCAAAACAGGGTGACTATAGAGGGGTTTGACTGTAAATGGGTGTGACTATAGAGGGGTGTGACTATAGAGGGGTTTGACTGTATAGTTTGTTATTATAAGTTGGATGTTAATGTTTATACATGCAGTTTCACTGGATAAAAGAAGAAATGATGGTTAAAAAGATTTTATGTATGTAGTTAGTTGAATCGAATTAATATTATACGCAATTGTGATACATACCCCTAACGGAAAATTCATGTATCCTATCGAATTAATAATATTGTAATACATGTACATATCTGTAACAGAAAATTCATGTCTCCTATCGCTACTGCGTACATGTATTTGAAAACAATAATATAATGGTAATCATAAATCTGATAATAAATCTGATAATGGTGATCATAAATCTGATAACGATAAACTAATTAATTAAATCGGTCGATTTAATTAATGAACTTAAATTGTAAAAATAACTTGAACATCCTTTTTGTGTAAATTAACGAATCATGAAAGTCTGGTCTTTTGATGCAAAGACTTCAAACCAAACCAATCGTTTTAACTTTTCAAAGTTGGAATGTGATAGTATAGGAATACATGTATATGCAATAATTATGTTGGCAATTTGAAAGGATATGGAAGTAATGCCAAAGACCGATAACAACGTTAAGATTGGCAATCTAAATTGTGCAAATAGCGGTGGATAACGGAAATATGGGCAATTCAAACAGCCAGAATAACACAATTTCGTGAAATTGGCAATTCGCTGATTTTAAGTAACTTACCAAACTTTTTTAGAGACTTGGAAAATATTGATTTTCAAAGGTTAGTAGGAAGAAAAACTTTGGATTTGCATTATGGTAAATATGTCAATTCATAAATCATATACATGTATAATATACTGTATAATCTATGATTAATTATATCAAATTAAATGCGTGTATCTTTCAACTAAAGATGGGTGTAAAAACCATGTGATGCTACTAGGCACACGGTTTAGGTTATATTTTAGGATTATACGGTTTTTACAACTCTATAGCCGAAACTATACTTTAAACCCAACTTTTCGTTTTACTCTTATACCTTATTAATTATGTGCATTTCTGAAACAAAAAAGTGTCAGTATGATTTTCAATGTTTACGATGAATAATAAAGTTTTCATATTAATAGCCGACAACGAAATTTTTCAAACCGATAATTTTTAGCCTAGACACATTCTTTGACTATCTAATTTCTTATTTAATTAAGTTTTGGCACAAAGCTTTTTCATAAACTATCATATTGGTCTTTTCTGACATTCTGACACGTGTTAATTTGAGATACGTAATTTTAAAATAGATATACCATCATTTATATCGATATCTTCCATTCATTTAATACCATTTCCTATATATGCTTATTTGCTAAAGACTAAGATCAAATTATTACATGAATTGAATATTAGTTTGCATCTTACGCTCTACTTATTATTAGAAGGTCTATAATACAAATTTACTATTACTATTAATGATATATATATTAAAAATACTTTTTAATCGATTGGTTTATACGTATTGAATTCTTCAAGTGTTTTTTGCGTGCTGTGTTTATTAACATGACTAATAAACGTGGAAAGTTTATTCTTGGATGAAGGAGACTTAGTTCGCGCTCCTTTTTTATGTTGCTTATGATGTCTGTGCCCGTGTGAATATAACAACGAATGGTGCTGATGACGAGGAGGATGTATCGATTGAACCTCGTGAAAATGGAGTACCGCTGCGTATGCTAATAACATGATATTAAGGAATATCAAAATTCCTGTAAAGAGGAGACATCAATGTGAGTCATTGAGAACAGATCGAAAACAGAAAGTAAAGAAAAAACACATACTGAACAATGCAGGCTCCCATTCTCGAATTGGATCTTCCGTCGTCATTTCTGATTGATATCTTTTCACGATAAACCAATCTCGTAATCGCTTAAACATAGTTATTACTCTCTCGCTCTGGTAACAGTATCAAAGATATTGTCTTAGTGAACCAATTTAAGAGCAGAGTCGTAAAATTCAGCGAATCGACTACATGTACATGTATTTATATTAAATGTGCGTTAGTCAATCTGCAAACTAACGATAATGACTTATTTATCGGTACATATCAGGAAAATCCTAAATATCGATATCGATATCGATATATACGCGCGTCAAAAATCTCAATTTCTTGGCGTCGACCAAATTAAGTTTATTTGGTTGCTAATAATTAATACAGTATGACATTCCAGATTAGTATGACATTCCGATTAGTATGACAAAACGCATGTCATAAGATTCGTTATTTATCTACGTATACGTAACATTATCCTAATGTTAAATTGCATTATACGATAGCATACTACGTAATGTTACATGACATTAATTTTATGCATGTATAGATAATATATTATGACAATTATTATGACCAAAATTCTGATGCCATATTAACGAGAGTGGACTGTATTATGATCATGCCTAGTTGCAAGTTCAACTTGACTGTTTGAAATATTTTACTACGGATGATTACAATCAGGAATCTGTGAAAAGATAGATCGAATAAAAAGCACGATACGTAATAAATAATGTGGCGTGGTACTGTGGTAACATTAAATTAGCTTATTAATGGAAAAATACGTAGTTAGAAGGTTGAAAGTTTAGATAAGCACTAAAATCAATAAAGATAAAGATAAAAACTCATTGTCTTTATACGTAAAACCATCTATATTTTATACTCTCGTTATCATTACACATCGTCATGTACAAGAATAACATTAACACACGATATAATACATATGTACCTATCTCCATATAATAACTACATGTACATGTATAAATAAGTTATCCCACGTTCCGGGAAGATAGCAATATACGTATAATAAATCCGTTAGAATTTAAGTGATAAAAAGCGTGCTTAACGATAGCACCACCACCGTCATACGATCATATTGGGACGTGAAATAAGAATGCATAACGATTAATACATGTACGTATTTGATTCACATCAAAAAATTGCGTGGAAAAAACACACACCGTAATTCGCAGTTCAAAATACCCAGGTCTCGGGCAAAGTTAATTAATCAAAAAAGTGAGGTGGTATACTTTTTTGTGGGGGTATGTTGTACTACTCGTTTTTTCTAATGTGGAACGAAAAATTGTGAATTGTTAATGTCATATCGATATTGAAAAATTCTAGTATGCAACATACAAAAAGCATGGATTTCGACATGATATTTATTATCCGGTAGAATTTGAAAATTTTGTGTGATTAATCTCAGCAGCAGAATCTATCATGATTTTGTTCAGAATAGCATTCATTGTGAAACATCATTCCAACCAAGCTTGAGATTTATTTTATCCCGCCCTGATATATATTATAGCAAATCCTTACGTAATAGTCAAGTGATTTGTATAGAACGGTAAACTATATTCTATTGTCCAAGTGATCGATTACAGAATTAAGTCCTTTCATGTTTATTATTTCAACACATTCCATTAAATATGCTATGGAATAATCAAATTTGTCTTCTGGTTAGGGTATTTCGAAATTAATGAGTTCATCAGAAGTCAGGTAATCTTGATGTGAAATGTATAATGGAATTTTAAGACAAAAAAAATCATCATTTCCCAAATAATTTTCCTTCGGCAACCTGCGTACCACACGCAGCGCATGTAAGAAAGCACAATCTCAGATTCTAAATATCTTAAACAACTTTTTTCTCGATCTCAGTTCATTTTTCAACGATTTCCGATGCAGCTTGATCGCCTGATGGATATCTTTCGGAGTACCCCACCCATTCTTAAAACAACTCGCCAAATCATAATTCACTTTCGGGTTCCGATCATACGTCAGTTCCATCTGATACAACAAAAAAGCTTTTCTCTCGTCTTTTCGTGTGTGCCTGGCATTCCGAAAACATCGTGCAACCCAATGTCTTTCTGCACACTTTAGTTTGTTCCGAGCACACTTGTAGAACCACTCGAAAGCGGTAAATGTGTTTCTTGCGACGCCATTTCCGTCAAAGTAACAAAATCCCGTTTTTGATTGTGCCATTTGATGACCATTCAGTGCTGCTCTTCTGTACCAATAAAATGCTAGATCTTGATTCTTTGTCACGCCTTTCCCTTTCTCATAGCAATGCGCGAACACGTATTGACCTTGAACATTTCCACTCAACGCAGCATTTTTAAACCAAAAAAAAGCTCGTTGATTCTTGGTATTCTCTTCCGATTGATAGAGTGACATGATACCCGGACAAGAAAGTTCATATGAATTTAGATCGGTATTCAAAATATTTTGATTTTGAATGAAACTGATCACATGCGAAGTGCGAATTTGTGTGCCATTTTCATGGCATCTTCCCACTCCATATTGACCCTCGCTGCACCCGCCGATCGCCGATTTCAAATACTCCCAAAATGCGGCAATATTATTTTTCTCCGTTCCTTTTCCGTGCTTGTAACATTTCGCCAAATACGCTTGGCCCAACGAATTAAAATTCTCAGATGAAGCTTTATAGCAGATAAATGCCAAATACAGATTCACTTTCGTCCCGATTCCATATTCGAATGCGAATCCCAGGAGACATTGGTAAAGTGGCAGATGTTGCAGTTTGGAGAAAAGATGGAATACATGCTTGGTGGTGGTTTTTGATGCGGAAATTCTGGCGATGAACGATTCGGCGATTTTTTTCTCCTTATCGCCGCGTTTCACGGAGTCGATGAATATGGAGACAAGGTCGTTTAAAAGTATGTCGTCGGGGTCAATATTTTTTCCTGTTGCTCTTGCTGCTTTCTTGTAGTCTTCTTCTGTGGCAGCCATTTCTTGGATTTTAAATTCGAATGATCATCCAAAGTACATGTAATTAAGAAATTCCAACACATGAAAATTAAGCTAACAATCAAGTTCATAAATAGTAAGAACATTTCTGTAACACTTTCGAAAAGGATAGGTCACGTTACTTTTGAGTAAATATGTACTCTTTATTTTCCTCATGTAGAAATCAAACGGAAACGACAAATACTTTATTTGGCTTCGTACTTTGCTTATCATTATAGTTATGTCTTCAAGTGGTATACGTATATATAATTATTTTACCAAAGAAACTGCAGTCAAGCCTTGATATACGTACTGATGTGAATATGATCGGGGGCAATTAGTAGAAATATCGAAAAAATCATTATTGCTAAAAATCCAGCGATTATTCATGCTAATGGTAGCATGAAAAAAAAGTGAACTTTTATTTTTTACGTAGATATACGACTAGAATACCATACCATTTGTTTTGTAAAATACGCACTTTGAAATTGATAAAGACAAAAAGCCAAGAAAACATTTTCAATAAAAAAAAATAATATACAAAAAACTAATCGAAAACAAAAATTTTATTTTACAGAAAAAGGAATTATTCTAACGCGCGCGTATATAAACACATTTTGCTAAGAAGTAACACACACACCAAACTAATAATCTTTACTCATTCCATTAGTGCGAATAACCTGGAAAACTTCATATTCATCCACCGAAAAAGTTTCACTACTGCTACGTATTTTTTGCTCATAATCGCATTGTCTAGCATGAGAAAGTCTTGATTCGCGGTAATTATGACCAAGTAAACATAGATCGCCATCACCCCACGCAGGACCACTTTTCGCGTTTGACTTTACGGCGTTTGAAGGATTTGCAACCAATGAGCAGAAGGCGGCGGACAAGTCATTTTCATCAATTGAGAAAAGAAAACTGTCGCTTGTTCGTTCAAAGCCAGAGTACAGATTCCAACTGTATGGATTGTAGCCGCCGATTATTTCGTTTGTGCCCTTTACGCGAATTACAGTCAGTGTGGGCCCTTGATTATCGCATTGACGATGAAATGAGGTGGCGGTGAAACCATCTCGACTTCCTCGTAATAGTAATTTAAACTCGAATGGATTAGTCACGAAATGTACTTCAATATTCTTCTGATCAATCCAAATGGCAGCTAATGCCGCGTGTTTGACATTTATCAGGATTGAATCGATTTGTGTCGGTTTCATATTCATCACCAACCAATTCCATGAACCAAGTCTTGGTGGCGTGATTGGTGTTTTTATTTTCGAAGTGTCGCCAGGATGCAACAAATAATTACAAACATCACGATAAAGTCGTCTCGGTAGAACCGTTTTAAACGGGACCACACGTTCATCGAAATCTTCCGACGAGAAGTGAAAGAATCTGATATGCGGTATTAGTTTATGAAGTAATTTTTCTAGAGCAGCAAATTCATTTTGTCTCCATTGAGAAATATCGAACGTAAAGGGTGGCATTTGCGCAAGACCCCAATCCATAATGCGTGCCCAAAGATCAACTTCGTCTATTGCGAGATCATCACGTGATAGCAGTGAAACAAGCATATCTTCTTCCAAAGCCGTGAAATCTACCGCTTTGAACACCACCTCTGGGTGTTTTTCTCGGATCATTTGGATGAATTGCTGTAATTTCCAAAACGAGTTATGCTGGTATGCAATTCTATGCGCGAGTGCAAAATGTTCACGTATCCAATCAGCTTTTTCATTGATCAGATGATTTTGAATATGATCGAATAAATCTGTTAGACCCAATTCATCGGCTGCGATTAATAAATCGAGCACTTCCGCACCGTTGTATTTGGTCAAATATATCATTCCTCCATAAATATATCTTTGATTATCATAGAATAAAATTGATAATTAGATAAGACGAATATTTTCGTATTTAAAAGATTGAATAAATTAATATCATCACAATCTCACCTCAATATGACACCAAATACAAATGGGGAAATATTCGGTTTCTTGAATGAAAGAATACTATTATTATTGTCTTCGGTACGTGCCCATTCATTACTTAGCGCTGTAGCAAAATAAGCAGACCGTGCTCGTAGAATTAACGAGTGCGCTTTATATGTTTGTACGTCATCCTTTTCGCCGACTTGTATCTCGACATCATGATCACACGCGGTATCCAAAAGTCGAGTAAAGTCTCGTGACAGAAAGGTTAGAAATTCAAGTGCCATTTTTTTATTTGAACTTCTTTTTTGGATGATAATAGTGGTAGTAGTTTTTTATGCGTGAAAATGTGTTTTTCTTTTTTTATTGTTTAAAAGAAATTTTGATTCCGATCACAACTTAGTTTATTATGTCGTCGTTAAAAAGAATAACAGACTTTTTTTATTATGTCGTTAAAAGAATAACAGATTTCGTGGTTCACTAAAGTCAACTTTTGTCAGATATTATTAAAAATACATGTACTTGGGACAAATGGACAGGTTTTTGACATCGATGATCGGGTGTATAAATAGGGAAAAGTGGTTCGCTCTCGCTGTGTTCATCAGTTCCGACAACCCCCCTGAAGAGAATCAATAAACATAAATTGTTTACAATAAATATTATTTTTTAGTCTCATAAAAATGACACAAAAAAACAGGGATTTTCTTTACGTTTCTTTTATACATCTATTTTTTCGGTAGTATTGAAAAACCGGATTTTGACAGAGAACAAAGGGATTTTCAGAAGTACATTGTTGTTCTTGAATCATCGCCGCTTCGGATTGGCTCCTTTGCAGCAAGAGATGATAATAAATTACATGCAAGACACACATGCAAAATAACGATGCCGTGTGATTTTTTGTGATTTCCGGTTGTTGTTCGTATGGCTGATCGACAGCTAACACAAATCAACAGAAAACGGGACTTGAAACAAGAAAGTGCACGAAAAAAGAAAGACATCGTTGCCTTTGTGCTTTACATCAAGTCACAGACAGTATTTGAGTTTAAGTCACTCGTTTGATTTAATTTTACGTGTTACACTTTTTCCTGAATTACAATCGAGAATAACCAACGACGATGAATGGCGGCAAAAGTAATGCCGAGTGAAAGAAGACGGTTTTTGATGTGATCCTGTAGGACCACACATTCATTTCATGTTTTTTAGTTTATTTTTAAGGAACGTTAGTCGTGTTTTTTTTTTTGGTCCAATGAGAACGTTGGAATCTTAACCAGAATTTTTTTGATACCGGATGTATTCTCGGTTAGAGCAAGTTTTTTTTTCTTTAGAATGTATTCACTTTCCCACGGATCATTTTTGGGTCGTATATCGATATTGAGCACGACCATTTGCGCTACCATATAGAAAAAATGCGCCATTTGAACAAGGGTCAAAACATATCATCCCCCGCACCATCATCTACTATTCCTAACTTCGCAAACAAAGAGAGACTAAAAATAATAATTTCATTGTATGTACGCTTGATCAATTATCATTGATGTTTAGAAATAGAAAAAGTGGGTGTAAAAGATGTGGGAGGCTTCAAACTCCATCGATGGCGAGATTCGCAAAACAATGATGCGTTAAGATAAAAGCATGATTGTTTCGAGAATTCAGAGTTAGGAGAAATAATAATTATGCAGTGAGCATTTTAAGTGAGTTTAGAAAAAGAACGTGAATAAAAATGTATGTAACGATAACGATCATTATCGTTATTATTGGCGATGTACATATTACATGTATCTTGATAGTCAATCATCACATGTATCATACAGCCACTGTACATTGTTTCCGACAGTTAAATCACGACTTTTGTTGTAATTATTATTGTTTTAAAATTTTACAAAAAATGCAATCCCCGCATACACGCGCATTTAAAACGGATACTTTTGTTTGTTATCATTGTTTGCTACCGTGAAATGTCTGTGATTTGTTTTTTTCAGATGGGATTGTTTCGGATTTTCGGGGTGCATAAGGAAGAAAAACATGCGTTTTAAATAATCGAGTGGCGAGGTTTGCGTTTTTCCATAGAAAAGGCTGATTACATATATAGGTTATATACGCATTTGAGTTTTCAGAATTTTCATATTGTGGAATTGTCTATTTGGGATGATTAAAAAAATTTCCATTTTTGATCGGATAAAGTAAAATCTATACTAAAAACGATTGATATTAATTTCACTCCATACTTTAAACCCAATATTGTCAAAATAAGTAAAGAATGCCGCTTACTTACGAAAAACTATGCAAATCCCTGTCATGATTTCTCTTAAAATTATTCCACGTTAACGAAATTAGGTACATGTATGCATTGTGTATATTTAAAAGTATAAATTCTTAGTACATGTACTCGGTTTCGAAAAGAACCAAGAATCTGGGTAAGGTGGCCTATTGAATTGAATTTAAAAAAATCAATTACTATATATCCCTATATACCGACACGTACTATCGTTAATCTAGAAAGAATCGGCTTACATCATTTTCTTTAGTTACACAAATGCTGGTAGACTTATTTGCAAGTACGTCAATGACGAAGATAGCTTTTGTAGAACCATCGTGGGACTCGCAATAACTCAAGGAAACCGAAGGATCATCAGAGAACCACATCGCTAAAGAAAAAAATAATTTGTTAATATTTCAAATTATTGTTCTTTAAAATCAAGACAATACTTGCATCCACGATAATTCGAATGTTCGCTCTGGTTACCCTCTCGGATAATGCCACATAGACCACAAGCTTTGATACAGCATGGTGCCTTCTCAGCAACTATTTTCATCGGATTGCAAGCGGAGTATGTCCCATGGTACATTCTGAGAGTCGTTTTCATTTGCTTTTTCAATTTTAAATGTCTATTGACCTTAGACCGTGGCATCTGAATTCTGATAATGGCTTTTATAGAAGCATTTGCAAGTTTTCTACATCCAGTAAATCTCTTGAGTACATATTGATAATCAATATCATTCTCTTGCAAAACGGTTAATTTGGTCCGAACAAGCTTTTCGCCATCTCGCGAGTAACACTCTTTAGAACAAAAGGAATGAAACATTTTCTCATTCCTTGGATCTCTATATGCTTTTCGAGTACATCCTTCGCGGGAACAATTGGGACCAACATTTTTGACTCCGATTCTTGCACCACCTCCACTTTGGTGTTGATTGGCGCATGTTCTCCCACAAAAAGGATGAATTTTCCCGTTGTTTTCAATGTAGCACCGATTTTGACAACCGGAACGTTCACAAAGAGGATGTTGAGATATATGCTGAGCTATAATAATCACTGAATAAACACCTAAACAGAAACATAAAGCGGCGGCAATCAAATATATAAGACACATGGTTCGAGGATGAGCTAAATCCTCAGTTAAATGATTTGATTTATATGAAGTAATGAATTAGTTGATTTCTCACGGTATAATACTGTATTATACACGCACTCAGTGATTGGCTGCAAAAAATCATATTATATTGTTGACCATTATACCATAAACTGCGGTTCTTGAGCTAGATATTGTTTATTTTACTCGAAACGTTGCGTTTTTGTATACGTAGTTTCACCAAAACTACAAATCTTTGTATTTTTATTAGCGAAATTTTTTTTGGCAATTTAAAGATTTACATTCACATGTTAATTATGAAAAAAGATCATAACTAGAAAAAGCCAAGTGTTGGATAAAAGACACGACCCTTTTCCGGGTCAAGACGATTACGAGTAGGATTAATGGTATATTATGCGATAGAAAACATTTGCTCACTTGGAACGCTTGTTGCTTGCACCACAAGGTAGTTCTGAGGCATTTTTGATGTGGATCAGTGGCACGCATTTCCAATATACCACAATGTCAGTTTTCTTCTTGTGAGTTCTACTATTATTAATATGGTACCAAGGAGGTGCACTTGGAGAGGTTTTTCTGTACAAAAATGTTAAATAAAAATATCAAACAAAACTATTAAATGTTAGATAATGCTATCTCTATAATTAATGTATCAATTAGATGTTAAAAATCATTCTTTTTTATTTTTTTTCTGATTGCTATTGTATATAAAGATTTTATATTATTATGATAAATATTAATATGAAGTTTTGACAAACTTTGAATTTTACAATTAAAAAAAATTGTGATCAAAAATTGTGATAGAATTTTATAATAATTGATATTGTTACCATTTTGAATTTTTATGTATGAAAGTATTTCAAAAAGGTAATAGTGATTGTGTTTACTTTGAATTTATACCTAAATGATATTTATAATAAAATAAAGATATTTTCTTGATGAAATAAAAATGAAGATTATAAAATCAATGCTAAAACAAAGCTTAATCAAAAGAAAATTAAACTAAAAACTATTTTTAATCCCAAAATTAAATCAAATTAACATAACCAAACTAAATGAACTTAAAACTAAATCAAAAGAACTTGAATTTTATTAATTATTAGCACTTGTATTTATATATATTTTAAAGTTATATTAGTATAATATAACAAAATAATATATAGTATAATATAATAATATACAATTATAATGCAAAATGTAATATAATATATCTATGTTATTATTATAAAATTATTGGTTCTTTTCTAATTATATAAAAAACTAATTATATCATAATTAATTATTTTATTTTATATTAAAATATTAATAACAAAAATAAAAAATATATATAATAAAAATTAAACAAATATAAATATACCAAAAAAATTGTGCAATTAATATATTCAATTTAAAATAACAATATAACAAAATAAAAATAAGAAATAATAAGAAAAAAAGAAAATAAAAAATAGAAAGAAAAAGAATATTATTAACTAATAATAAAATTAAATACATAATTAGGATATTATTATAATTAATTTGTCTTATTGTATTTTTATTTATATATTTATTATATTAAAATAGTAATAATATTAAAAATTAATTACATATTTTTATACTTGTAAAATTAGATTAAATTAATAAAATAAAAATTTATTTATTATTATAAATTAATATTTTTAATTTTATTAAATAATAAGATATTATTTAAAAAACAATTCAAATAGTAATTCAAATATTAATTTAAATTAGTTTGAAT